TTAAACTTTAATTTACAAAAAAAATTAAGGAAAAAAATTGCAAAGGACCTAATTAACAAAATATATGGTGAAATATTAAAAACTAAAAAAATACTTATGAATCACCCACTGACATATATATATATATATATATATATATCACTAGTGAAAATTGACTCCATGGCCTTGTGAGGTGTCTTGCTAGTTGGATTAGTTTTTATTAATACACATACATATATACATATTTATAGAAAATAATTATATTCAAAACACAATCAAATACTAAATGCAAATATCTTTACGTTGAAATTTTTAACTTTAGCTTGCCACATTATTTAGGATAAACTCCTTTCACCTGACTTAATTCCTATCGGCTTAATTGGATCAATTTAATTGGTTGTTTTTTATATTCTAACCCCCTGTTTGGAATGAAAGAAAACTAAAGGAGGAAAGTATAAGAAAAATACATTCTCCTTCCCAAGCATGAAGTTTTTCCTTTAGTTTTACACATTACCTCTTGGTTTGGATGGGGAGAAGAACAGGGAGTAGATAAAAACTATAAGAAAAAAATCCAAGAAAAATACTACTAATTTACTATTTTTAGAGATATCCTCTCATCCTCATTTTCTTTTCATTTTTCTCTCTGTCTAAATCAGGCCTAAAGAAAAAAAAAAAAAAAAAGAAGCCTAATTGCGTTATGGTATGCCCCCCAACCTCAACCTTTTCAGCTCCATAAATCATGCCCATGGCGACTCAACATCTCAGACTTACTATCTTAATTAATCCTAACTTGTCTTAATAACGAATCCTTTTCTTTCCCCTCTTAACAGTAGAAATTAAAAGGAACAAATTCCAAAAAAAAAAGATACAGCTTTTTAAAGTTTTTTAACGATAATTTTCGTAATACGTGTAGATTCGTAGTGCATATTCCTATCTGTTTGAAAAGAAAAGAAAAGAGAAAATTAACAAAACTCCAAAATCTAATTTATGCATATATTTTTTTATAAATTTGGAATTTCTATGACTATTCTCTATTATATATAATTATTAATGAATATATAAGATTTAAAGTCGTGGTTTGATTAGGAATTGATGTAGAAATTAAGAATGGGATGTGCCGCCATACAAGCTGTGGTCCTTGCGTGGGTGTGGTCCCATGAATTCCACATTCCCCAGCTTTCAGTTGGTTTCTCCACCTTTCTTGTTGCTTGGCCGAAAAGATATCCTTTTCTTGTTTTGGTTGTTTAAGGGTGGCTTTTTTTTTTTTTTTTAATATATATCTATATATATGTCTCTGGAGGCTCGTCGATTAATTATTGTGCTTCTCGCGTCAACTTGTGATTAATCACCCCATCTACTCTTAATCAAAATGACATATGGAGTACACATAATGATAGATTATTGAGTTCTCGCCTGAGAGGAAATTATACGATCAACTCAATTATTGCCGTAAAACTTATATACTTAATCATATGCAATTAAATTATTACAAATTGATTTTAATATGTTAATAAAATTAATAATAAATATTTATTATAAAATAAATAATTGATTAAATACCTATATGTATTGATTTAATTGAAAACAATATATAAGCATGATTGTCAAACTCTTAAGTTGACTCCAATTTTTTTCATTATTATATTTTTAATTTATAAAATCGTGTCAACTTACTTATAAATTTGGATTAAAGAAAAGTCAGTTAAACTTATGAGTTAACTCTCCAAATTTATCATTATTATATTTTTAGCTTTGCAAAATCATGTCAATTTATCACCATTTAAACTTGTTAAACTTGTTGGTTTTTAATTGATTAGTGAACAAATTAGGTATATACTATGTACAATTGGCTTTAAAGAAGCAGTAAGACACAGTTCAAAGAAAAATAAAATTCAAAAAACAAAAATTAATATTAACAAAAAAGACAATAATAAAAATAAGTTGTCCTATTTTAAAATTTTTATGTTGAGTATGATAATCTGTCAATATAAATAAATTTAAATTCAATAATTTATATTTAAATCAAATTATGATCCTATTTTATATTTTAATTATTTAACTATATATTTTAATAATTATTTATTAATAAAAATAAACTCTTATGAATTTATGATTTAAATTTACATTGTGAATTTGACAATTTATATAAAGAGTGATTTGAGTTTACATCGTGAATTTAAAAATTTATATAAAGATTTAAGTATATAAGTTTTTTTAAAAATTAAACCTTTGCGATAACTTACAGGTAGAGAATATTTCGTAATACACAGACACAGACACGAGACCACCATCGTAACTGTAGCTACAAATCTATTCAAAACATTAAATCATGTTAACTGTTGCATATTGTTTTTGTTTGGCAAGATGCATAATATTGTATCTTAGTTTAACTCGTGCATGCATCTGTTTGGTGGTGAAGTTTCAACGCGCATAACAAATGAAACAGGGTTTAAGAATATTAAATGCATTTTTTGTTGTTGATTTTGCTGTGCTGTGTTAACCTGAAGCCTCTTTTTCATTGCGTGGAGGAAAGTTAATCCTCAAGTTTTCTCGTGCCTCATCCTTCCATCTACCACCCACTTCTCTCATCACGTATTGTCCACTTGTACTCTCCGCCCACCCGTATATCTCTCATCATCTCTCACTCGCTCTCTTGCTTATTCATCACCATTCACTAACTCACCCCCCGTCTAAATCATGTGTTTTCCCACGTCTCATGCTTAATCCCTTTCACAAAATTATTAATACTCCACTGTATCAAATTATAAAATATTTTTAAATAAAATCTTATATATTAATAAAATTTATTAAATATATTTTATAATTTTTTATTTTTAAAATAAAAATAAAAAAATTTAAAAATACATTTCATTTATTACTTCATTAATAAAAGATTATTAAAAAGAGATAATATATGAGAAGGATAATTTTGAAAAGTATCATTAATGAAACTTTATGTTTATAAAAATATCTTATATTTTAAGAAGTTGAATTTTCTCTAAAAGTATTTTATAATTTGAGATGGAGGGAGTATTATTTTTTTCCACCTTTTTTCATTAATCATCCCATTTCTTTTTTTTTTTTTGGGGGGCCTGAACATCCCATTTCCAATTATACGTAATTACCTTCATACTTGCATATATGCGCGCGCGCGTACACACGTATTATAGCATGATTTCGTAGAGGGGAAAAAAAAAACCTCGCAGAAGCAGAGAAAACGGGTGTCCATGAAAATTCATTACAATTTACCATCAACATCATATCTCTAATCAAAATTAACATGAATAATAATAGAGAACTTAAAATCATCAAGTCTTTTACAATGTACTCTGGTTCATTATATAGAATATTTTTTAAAAAGCCTTGTTTTATTCAGGATATAGAACACTTGATAGTTTTTTATATTTTTTCTAGCTATATCCTTATTTCATTTATTATTATTTGAAATATAAATTGTTATTATTAAGGTATTTATACAAGACATTTAATAAAGGTTTAATTTAAAAGACATACTCTTCATGGATCACATTCAGAGTGTTTTTTAAAGTCTCGCTTAGTTTAAAAGTTTATATATATATATATATATATAAGTCTATAAGATAATGGATATAAGTTTTATATATATATATATATATATATTCATTATATTCTCATTTTATTATATTCAATTTATGTAATTAATAAGAGTGTTTTGAATATGTCAACTAATATATAGTTAGAAATATGAAAAAATTTAAAAAAATTCAAGATTCTAACCAAATTTAGAAACGTAACACTGACTTGTGGAGTGCAATTTTTAAAAAGATTAAAATTCTAGCTAGCCCTTTTTAAAAATCATGAAATAATTATCAATAGCAGAATACCTATATTAGAGGATGGAGGGAGCAGTGTTATTTATATATTTTTATTAAATTTTCAAAATATGAAGTGCTTATATTTGCAAAGTACTCCCTTTAATTTTATTTATAAGTAATTTTTATTAACATCATCAATACCAATACAATAAAAATATAAAAAAGTAAAAGTAAGTGAAATTTTAAACATAACATTCAAGCAAAAAGTAAAAAATAAGTCAACAATATAATATTATTTTTTTGTCTTTCTTTCTCTTACTTTTTAAAGGTAATTTATAAATTTTAATTTGAAACAAAATAATTCCATCAATAAATGACTTATAAAATAGATCAGATTATACTTCTAGAAAATGACTTATATGCTGAATCGAAAGAATATACATTAATGAATGCCATAATATTAATAAGAGTTAAAGTATATTTTTACTCATTTTTATTTAACAAATATTGGATGACTTGTATTAATAAGTGAGTTATTTTTTTTAAATTATTTTTTAAAAGAGTAAAATCTCTCTTTCATAAACGGATCACTGATAGAGTAAAATTTTTGCTCTTCTAAAATATAATTTAAAAAAAATATTATATTTATCGGCACTAGTCAGGGTTTCTTGAAAGAAGATAGATAGGCGTAAGCGGTCCTCGTCGGCGCTCGAGGGTATGATGAATCTGGGAACAAATTGGCCTTTCAAAGGAGAGAGAGAGATGGGTCTGATGGATTGTGTCGGCCATGTTTGGATTTATCTTAAAGGAAGCTCAACGTGGCGGCCGCATCCAGTCGACAGACTAGCAGCCAAGTACGAAACCCTTCTCTCTCAAATAGTTAATGGAAACTATCACGCACATTATATAAATAAGTCTCTTTTACTCTAGCACTATTTATAAATTATTTATTAAAATAATAAATTTTAAAATTTATTAATTTTACCTAAAAATTTAATAATTTTTTACATTTTGTCACAGTTAAATATATATATATATTAATTATATATTTTTTATCCAATATTTCATGAAAAGTAAATAAGAAAACATGTGATGAAAATTTAATAAAATAATTCATAAATAAAATAAAATTTTTCACTCTATATCTTATAAATAAGATTAACGGTGGTATTTTCTTCTTTGTCCAATTTCTTTCTTTCCCCGTCATTTCTTGTCTATAAATATAAACTAACACAACAGCAACAGGTTCGGGGGCCAAGCCTTTTCTGGGCGTGGAAAACAGAATCTTCCTCTTAACTTTCAGGGCTCACAACCTGATATTTCTTGACAGATCTATGCGTACACGGGGATGAAGAAATAGAAATAGCTCTCTAATATTTCATCTTCATAGGGGGAGAAAGATAGCTAGGTTGATTGCCACCCCAAAAGTCGGCGGGTAGGTACAATAATCAACATGGAAGAAAGAGACTGTTGTTCGAGGGATTCGACGATCACGACGATCAGAAGCAGCCCAGAGAAGCGGAAGCAACAGAGACAGCACCAGAAAGCAGCGAAGGACAAGCCATACAGAGGGATAAGGATGAGGAAGTGGGGCAAGTGGGTGGCTGAGATCAGAGAACCCAACAAGAGGTCAAGGATTTGGCTGGGTTCCTACACCACTCCCATCGCCGCCGCACGCGCCTACGACACCGCCGTTTATTACCTCCGAGGCCCTTCTGCTTCGCTTAACTTCCCCGAACTCTTGTTCCAAGACAACAACGCTCTCTCTCGCGGCGACATGTCCGCCGATTCCATACGCAAGAAAGCCACCGAAGTCGGCGCCAGAGTTGACGCCCTTCAAACCGCCCTTCACTCCTCCTCTCCCTCCAGTTCTACCCAAACCACCTCTTGCAAACCCGACTTGAACGAGTACCCCCAACCCGAAGACTCCGTCTAGGATTAGAACTAGCTGATACATATGCAAGCAACTATGATCCTGAATCTGTCCTCTCTAATTAGCTCTCCAGTAGATATATATAGTCCGTAGTAGTAGGTATACATATGATATACTTAGTCTTCCCGGTGAAGCTTATGGTGTAATATTCCCAGGTGTAACAAGGTACATGGTACCGCTCCACGTCGCTGGGCACATGGTTCTGTTTGTATCTGGTAGTCTTCCAATGACCTGTCTTCTTTGTTGCTGGAGATTTTTTTTCCTTGTTTTTAATTTTATTTCCATCGGGTTATTCGAAAAGAAAGAAAGAACTGTTCTTTCTATATATTTTGTTCTAATATATATACATACATAAAGCTTTGATTGCTAATGTGAATAACATATATGTTGTATATTCTGTGGAACTGTGTTGGATTATGTGAATGGAATAACTGGGAGGGAAGGGAAGAAAAACAAAAGGATGGAGGGGATTAGAGGGATGAAGATAGGAAGAGGGGTGGAAGAAGAAAGCCGCCTGGAAACAGAGAGAATTGAATCGATGTTGAGGGTAATTAACAAGTGGATGAAGAGATAAGGGAGAGTTGGGTTGATGAGCAGGAAAACAAAAAATATGAGATGAGGAGATTGTGGAGACCACACAGAGAAGAGGGACAACAGTGGAAGAAAGTTCAAGAGTTAGTGGACCTCAATCAGAAAAGGTTGCCCCTCACCGATCGTCCTCGCATTGCTTACAATAGCTTTGTTTATCGCTGTTTCATATCCTTCGTGGGACCCTACCCGCATCCTCTGTCATATTTTTCTTTTCCTGTTTATTCTTATGAATTGCAAAATTCCATCTTATCCCAGTGCGGCGTTGGCCAAACCTTTTAATGTTTCTGATATGGCGTGTGATCGATCCATCTGTCCTCTTTACAAACTTTCTGCACTCCATGTGTCCTAAAGAGCGTGTGTCTCTCTCTATGTGTGTGTGTGTATTGCTCATACCAATAAAACAAGATTAATACGTAGTATATATACCTATTCTCGGTGGACGGTAACTATTCTTCATTGTTTATATATTTGCCTTCCAATCATTGTTGAAGAATTCCAACTAGCTCACCGCCATCAATGAGTGCGAGAATTATTTTATTTTAAATTTCTTTATTACTTTTGAAAACGGGACACGAAAGATACAAAATGTACGAGTGACCCTTCAGATTGTTATATATAAACATGTTTAATTTCAAGTCAGCTGGAACATGTCTTCAACAAGTGTTTTAAAAGCTTCAAAATAAGACGCAATTTTAATTCAAACGAATAGAATGTTAATTATAAGAATTAATTAATTAATTAATTTGCACCGGCAACCAGGCACGGACAGTGATTTGGGGAGATCATAGAAATAATTAATATGTGATCGATTGATATGATGACTGTCGAGACCAGGAAGAGATATTTCAATTTGTGATTGCTGGGCATTGGCGAGCGAGTCAAAAGATTTGACAGAAGCTCAAATGAAGTTTAATTAGTTTACAAAGGACGGCTGAGAAGGAAGCACGGGACTGAGTGCTGCCATACCCAAATCAATTATCTAATTCTGACCGAACAAGAAGTACAAGACAAATTAGTTGAAATTTATGAATAAGTTATTAGATATGCAGCTCATGTATCGATGATATTCATTTTCCACGAAGGATGATCAGCCTTATCGAATGCTGAACCCGAGATCTTTATCACGCAGAAAAATCCCAGAGCTAGCTGACAAATAGTCCCTGATACCTAACGCTTTTGATCACGACCCTTTATTTTACACGACCATCCCCGCTTCATACATACATAGGGCAGATTTTTTGAAGTCAGCATCAGTTAAGTCTCTCTCTCTACGCGCGCGCGCACGCACACACGTTATATTTGTCTAATTTCCTATTTTTCTTTCTAACGAAAGCCACCCCCAGGGAGTCCGATTCTTCTGTCAAATTTTATTGGAAGCTCTTAATATACAGTATATATTCAACTTCCAATGATCTAGAATAGAGAACCCTTTTTCTTTTCGAGTTGTTTTCCTTTCAAGTGGTGCGTGTGCGTGTGGGTGTGCGTATTATGATCTGTGCAGAGCTAAGATTCAATTTGCATTATTACTTAAATATTGTTAGGGTTCATTTCATCAATCAACAAAAACTCAGGGATTGCTGGATATTAAGATTAAACTGATGGGAAGAAATGGAAAGAGATCTTGACGTGATGAAAAGAAATAGTCTGACTAGCAGGGGTTAAACATAGTAAAATTAGTTTTAGATGATTAAATACGAGATCTCATTCTTAAGTATGTGTGTATTGCTTAAAAATAAAGGCGCATGTTGAGATCAAATGCAAGGATCATTGCCAATGTAAAAAAGAGCATCACGCATCGACGTCATGTGAAAATGCAAGAATTAATGCACGGTCTTGCAGGGGACATGGAGCAACCAAATGCGCTTGACCATTGACAATGGGGAGGAGACGGCGGTATTCCTTTTCCATCACCTGATCGATAATTCCACGAAGCAAACAAGTCCTTGGTTGTTTTATTATTTTATATATAAAATATATGATAATATAATTTTCAATCATCTGTCAACACCCTTACATTGGCTGTTCAATTGTACTGAAATCCCTTGCACAGAAACTGAAGGAAATGATGTCACGGAGTGTGGTGGTGCTCATCATCAAACCCTACCAGTGAATTGGAGACACATCATCCGTCCAACTGAAAACGAGATCATGATAGTGCGCGTTTGATTTTCAGTTTGTCAAAAGTTCATTTAGTAAAAGTTCATTTAGTGAAAGTCAATTTTATAAAAGTACAAAATTTGTGTTTGAATATATTTTTTTAAAAGTCAATTTGATACATTAAAAATTGTTTGGTTTGTGATAGTGAAACGTTCTTTTGAATGTACAATTATCAAAAAGGATATTGATTTATAATGATTTATAATTTTTATTATACAAATATAATATATTTAAAATATTTAAAAAATATAATAAAGATTATAAATAACATAAATTTTGATCTATAATCCTAAAAATTTGATCTCTAATTATTTGTATTTTTTAATTTGTAATTTTAAAAGATATAATAAAGATTTGTAATTTTTATCATACATTAATGCTAAAAATTAACATGATTAATTACTCAATTTATAATACTAAAAAAATTGATACCTAATTATTATTATTATTAAAATAATAATTATATTTTTAATGAATTAATTATTTTTTAAATAAAAATAAGAGATTAAACTTAGGGTAGTATGGTCAAATAACATCCTACTTTTCAAATCTATTTTTTAAAAGCTTTAAATAGTTACATTTCAAAAATTCAGGATGTGCTTTCCTGTAAAATATTCTACCCAAACAACTTTTAACTTTTTAAAAGTAAAATTTTGTTTTCTGAATGTGAAACGGAAGAAAACCAAACACACCTGTAACCTTTTGCTTCTCCTTCTGCACCTGTCATACAGGGAATCATATTATACTTTATTTTGGAAATACCCTTATCAACTAATAATCAAGGACATGATCGAGTTTTCCTCAACAAGTAGTCCCTCTCATCCTTGCATAATTGTTCTTAACTTGCTCATTAAATATGATACCGCCCTGAAAATTAATTGTAACAGCACCGACTTTACCAATAAACTCCACTGAATTTCAACGCGACGCTACAGATCCCTCTATCCCAAAGCGAATAAACCTTCATATCAAATGTCATTTTCTTCTCTGGACCAGTATCTGTATGCTTGTGTAAGTTGATGATGTTGCGTGTGTGATTTCACATTCCGAGAAATGAAAATCACTTTCACACACAAAAAATATATATACTCTCTTCATTTAAAAATATAAAATATTTTTAATTAATTTTTTAATAAATTATTACTTATTTTTAAATTAATTTTATTTTTTTAATTTATCTCTATTAAACAATTATAATAAATATAAAATCATTATTAATAAAAATATTTTTTAAAAAAGTCAATAATTACACTTTAAAAAATTAAAAATACCTTATATTTTTTAACATTCAATTCCTTAAAAAATATCTTATATTTTTAAATGAACAGAATATATATATATATATATATATATCAGTCTCCACCATAACACACATCATGAATTTACTTCTTTTTTTTAATTAAAAAATAACTCCCTGACCGTGCAGTGTGCTTAGTTTTTTTTTTTAAAATAAAGTAACACAGATCTATATATATAATAAAGAATAACAAGCACTATTTTAAATTTGACACGTATATATTTTTAAAAACTGTAATTCTAGACTATCCATATCATCATTAATTTCTAAGGATATTTTTAAAAAATAATATTAACATTATCTCAAAAACTGCTTTCCTTTATTTCAAAATATTCTTTCTCATGATATCAATAATAAATTTTTAACTAATTCATAATTTTAAATTTTAATTTTAAAAATCTTAAAAAATGTCAAGTATCATAACTTCCTCAATTTATCTTATTCGTATAATAGATTTTTACCATTTTAATTACTACACCTTAATTTCTATTAGTTTAAATATTTAAAATTTAAAATTTAAATAATTTAGATTTAAATGTGAAAATTTTAAACCATGAATAACTTTCACATCCTCTCTGTTTCCTAATATCGTAACTCCTTTATTTTTTAATTTCAAAATTTGTGATGTATCATATTTTAAAATTATTTATGTTTAAGTCATTTTAGTTAATTAGCATAATAGATTTTCTCATTCTAATAACTACCCCTCAATTCTTATTAATTTAAATATTTTAAAATTTAAATTTTAAACTTTTAAAATTTAGATTTAAATGCAAAATTTTTGAACTTGGAATAAATTCCATATTCCATGATCTCTATTATCTAATATCATATTCTCTTCGTTTTTACAATTCAAAATTTGTGATGTATTAGATTTTACAATTATTTAAATTTAAATTAATTTAATTAATTGGTGTAATATATTATTTAGACGTAATAAATATGCCTTAGTCTAACTTCCCCTTAATTTTTAGGTTCATATTTTTGGCTTCCCATGTTAACTTCTATATCTTATTTTAACTTCTCTACACCTGAAATTCTCTCTATTATCCTTTCTTCTCTCTCACACACACACACACACACACACACATATATAATTTTATATTTTCTAGAGCAGTTGCCATTATTGATGTTGTTTATTGCTTGCACCATATCTGTCAATATTCATGCCATATCATGCTTCAAATAAATTCTAAGTTCACTATGGTCGTATTAATGGGTGCATCATCTTCCTCTCTTTCAAACCAATCAAGCCATGCTTTTCCTCAAATTCCTTCAAGATGTACTGTTTATTGCTACAAATTGTAAAAGTTGTGATTCTCATG